TGGTTCTGCATTAGCTATGTATGATCCACCAATCAGGCCATTCCTAACCCACTATAAAGAGCCAGGGTTTTTCACTACAGTCATCTTCGATTTGAAGAATCCCCCCTTCCACCCCTACCTCTTCACCTTTTCCTCTATAAGGCGGCACGATGGCCCAGTGGTTAGCACTGTTGCTTCACAGCAAGAACGTCAACAGTTCTAGTCCTTTAACAGGTTGGCTGTCGTTTCTGTGCGTAGTTTGCATGTTCTTCCTGTGCTCGCGTGGGTTTTCCCCGGGTTCTCCGGTTTCCTCCCACATTCCAAAAACATGCACAACAAGTGAATTGATCAATCTAAATTTAGCACTACAGTCAAACTCTTATTCTGCAGCATATTTCTTCATAGCATTCATTTTAGTCACTGGCTTTTATCAAGGGTGGAGTTGTCGAGATCTACCTGAGCTCAAAGCTCCCCTCTTGCCCTGCAAACGGGAGGAAGCCCAGGGCTCAAGGACATTTTAAGCTCAGGGCTCTCTCCCGGGACAGCATGCCAAACTTACTTATAATTAATCATTAGCTAAGTGTGAACTCTTGAATAGAGACTGTAAACAATATTAAAGAAGTGAATTGTGCACATCATTCAATCGTGCACATCACAATCATTCATAAAAATTTTACTTGTATTTTAAATAGTAGTGGATTTTGTGCTGAAAAACGACATGATGCTGTACAGAAGATGCATATATCTAACACAGACAAATATATATATATATATATATATATATATATATATATATATATATATGAATAATAAACTGCACAAAATTGTCAAACTACTTGCTCTATAAACAAGTGTTTGCATGACTATACAGACAAAGCAGAATAATATAATAGGAAAATATCAGTTTGCTTGCTGCATCAAGCAGCATAACAACCTGTTTTTAACGTCTAAAAATTAATGGAAGTGAATGAGACCAGAAGTCTAAAGCCAAAAAGAGTCAAATTGCTGCACCCATTCATACGCAAAGAATAATAATAGTGGATGCTATGCAGAAAAACTCCCTGATCCTCTACAGAATATACATATATTTAACACACAGGGAGTAGCAGTGCGAAATGGCTGTATATCAGCACTGGTGGGAGGCCGAGTGCCTTAGTGTACCACCAGGGATGATGTACACCCATGTCATACTGCTACTCGTGTGATATTGCATTTATACAATAGTTTGATGGCATAACCGTGTAGAGAGTCTAAAAATCCTTTTGTAAGAGGAACTACTTTCTTCTGCCATTCATTCACATCTGCAGCTGACAGTCAGAACATACAGTATATCAGAATGTGCAACATCAATGGAGTCGATCGAGATTTTTACCGTAATGGAGCAAAAGTTTATCATTTGCATATGTTTTAGGCCCATGAGTTTAAAGCATTCAGGCTCAAGAAAATTGTACTAATTGAAACTTTAATAAAAATTATTTGATTTAATTATTTGTACAATGAAGACTATACAGTACTATTTTACATTTGAATATTCAATTTCTGTACCTTAAGCAAAAATTCATGGAAAACAGACAGTTCAAAAATCCTTGCACTAAATAAACACAACAGAATTATCAGATATTTACAGTGGTGTAAAGTAACAAACTACAAATACTCAAAATACTGCAATTGAGTAGTTTTTTATCATAAACTCCACTCCACTACTTTCCTTCAACCTGCAGTCACTACTTAATTATTTCCTGTCTATGGGGGGATTAGAAAAATAAGTCCTGTAATTTTTGTCCAGTAATATCCCGCATAGAAGGTAAATCGCATCATTCTGAACTACCTCAAGACATGTGCACTTTATAATTGCAGCAAACTTTGTTTGGAAGCACTAAAAGTGTCCAAGATGTCCAAAATCGTCACACGCAATGACCCAGAGACTGTTTAGATGCACGTCACTGATGGGAAAATTATGGATATTTATTGTATGATGACCAAAATGGCCCTAAACACCCAGCAGGCACAGAATGTCAACATGACGTCAGCCATTGTACCCCAACATTGTGGGGATGTATCTTATTTAGAAATGAAAATGGGGTTGATTTCAGAACTCAATGTCAGGTCAACTGGTCAAAGATTTTAACATCCAACATAAAATCAACCAAATATCATCATCTAATGATGTTACAGCTTGACGTTGGTTGCCGTACCTGACCAATAAATGTCAGTATTTCACTTTAATGTGACGTTGTTTCAAGATGTTGGCTTAACATTGGATTTTGGTCACTTTTTAACAACCTAAAATCAACCATATATCAGCGTCATAGACATTACATTTTGGTCAGCTGACATCATAACCTAAATCTAACCTAATATTAACGTCTTGGGATGTTGTGTGGCTGCTGGGCAATAACTAGATGCACTACAGAATGTTACGTTTACACACATGTAAATTACATGCAAATGCATCAGCTTTTTACAGCATAATACTCACTACTCTTGAGTACTTTTTTTAAAGGGCTACTTTTTTCTCATACTTTGAGTAATATTTACAACAGATACTTTTATTTTACTTGCGCTACATTTTTAGGCAAGTAATGGTACTTTTACTTAAGTATGATTTTTCAGTACTCTTTCCACCACTGGATATTTATCAGATTATTCAGATTGAACTCGCCCTTTGTATTCTTTGTTTCAATTGCATTTCTATTTTGGTGTCAATAACCCTGCTGTTTTCATTAAACATTTGACTAACGTTTGCTTTGGCTGCCATGTCACTCCAACAGACAATATTGTTCTGGCTGCTCATTACATACAGTCTTCTTTTGTCGTAGTCGTGCATGACCTATTTTTCACAGAGGTTCATTCAGATTTCTCTCCGATTGCTCCACTGAGCCCTGTGGAGTGAAAATGCCAGACTGCGAGCTTGATAATTTGAGAAAGTGATATTCAGTGCGATAATTGATGAGCGGCTAGATTTGAGACGAGTGGCAGTGTTGATAAGTGTGTGACTGTGCGGCTCCCGAATGCACTGGTGCAAATACATGTCGGAAGAAATATTGATCCGTATTGATCCGAGCTTCAGCCTAGCAGGACTGTAGTTTCATTTTACACCCTTTTATTCAATTCAAACAAGAAAATAATGAGCAAAAACATTCAAAATGCAGTGCTGTTATCAAATATGTGCATTTTGGATGACAAAATACTCGCTAATATGAAATCATTTCATTTTATGCTTGCTGTCACTTTCTTTCTTAGTGTTACAGGGGGCAGGAAGGGGTTACATTAATCCTTTGGGCATTGGGAGCTTGCTGTAGCTCTGAGGTCAAAGGTTAATTGCCACCTAAATTGATTTAATCTGAACTAAAGTTGTGTAACGTCGATATGCATTTATATGTATATGGAAGAGAGTGTAACCAAAATGGAGTCTTAAGGAGACCCAGTCTAAAGTCAACCCAGAAATGAATGTTTGATTCTAGTGAATAGTAAAGTGGCTGAGAGAGCTCAATGCACTGCAACTTAAGAAAACACCTGCAAATAGAAAAACACTTGCAAATTAAGAAAATATTTTTAATATCAAACACCCTGATTACACGATTCCTTTACATGTTTATCCTTAGTAAACAGACAATTAACTGGGAATTTTTATTATCTAAGATAGCTAAATTATCTTAACATCATTAACTAAATATAATTTCAAGGCTAATAATGGAAATCACTTCTTAATGCTTCACTGAAGGTCAAAATAAATTGCAGATAAGGATAATATTTACAGTGCTCCACATTGCCCATTCCTCGTTGCAGTGCCTCTCAAGCTCTATCAAGTTAGATAGGAAGCGACGGAGTACAGCAATTGTCAGATCTCTCCAGAAATGTTCAATAGGATTTTGGTTTAGTTAAGTTGCAGCTTAACATGCTTGTGTTTATTAGGCTTGAATGTGGTTTCAATTCTAGCCAATTTTATCATAAGACGTCTTCTATTTTTTAATGTGAGCTTTTCTTCTCTCCATATACATGTGCATGTAAAGTGATAAAGTGCATGACGTCTATTTGTTTTCACTGTAGGCTGTGTAATACTGTACATGCTTCTGTGCACATCAATAATCACTTCAGTATTCTGCATTTTGTCTGGCTGTTCGGAAAACATTTAATCTTCTTTTTTTCTTTATTAATGTATTTATTACAATGTGTGTATTGATTTATTGATTATTAATGTATTGATATTGTGTCTAATCTTTAATACATCATGACTTTATATATTTTATTTTCTTTAACTTCTCCAGTTAACATTTCACATTAAAATTTAGCAACTATGGTCACACAAGTTATGTTGATGGTAACAAAACCATAAGTAGTTAATTTTGGGAATTAAAAATATTTCAAGAACACCACACATGTGCTATAATTAACAAATTAAATTGATATTTAAATTAATTCATATACATTTTTATTATTATTAAAGTAATTATTTATGATACTTTGACACAAAATTAATAATAAAATAATAATAGTGACTAATTGTAAACAGTTACTCTGGACTAACTGGTAGACTCACAATTCATTTTATAGGTGGAATTTGAAATACGGGTGACGCAGTGGCGCAGTGGGTAGCACTTTCGCCTCACAGCAAGAAGGTCGCTGGGTCACTGATTCGATCCTCGGCTCAGTTGGCGTTTCTGTGTGGAGTTTGCATGTTCTCCCTGCATTCACGTGGGTTTCCTCCGGGTTCTCTGGTTTCCCCCACAGTCCAAAGACATGCGGTACAGATTAAATTGTCCGTAGTGTATGAGTGTTTGTGTGAATGTGTGTGTGGTTGTTTCCCAGAGATGGGTTGCGGCTGGAAGGGCATCCGCTGCGTAAAAAAACTTGCTGGATAAGTTGGCGGTTCATTCCGCTGTGGCGACATTAATAAAGGGACTAAGCTGACAAGAAAATGAAAATGAATGAATGAATTTGAAATACATTTTTTAATTAAATTTCAGTTAAATATTAAATTAAAAAATATTTAAATAAAAAAATAAAACATGGGAAAATAGTTCTTCTTTCACCCTAGTTCACTTTATTACTCTTTTGAAGTTAAAACATTGGTACATGAAGAGTTCAGATGCAAAAACCTCTAAATGCCACCTTAAGTTTACTTTTAAAATGAGCATTTTTTGCAAGCTCCTGTGTGTATGTTCAGTGAATCCACTTTTATGGCAAAAATTGCTTCTTTGCATTGCTTTTAAGTAAAATCATTCCACAAAAATATTGGAGGCTGCAGAAAAATGCTAATTTTTAAAGAAAATTTCAGATAGCACTTTTTGCTTCTGAACTTTTGCATTTTTACATCTGAGTTTTTTTCATCTTAATTCATCTTATGTTCTCTAAAGATGAATATAAACATACTGTAAGAAATAATGGCATTGATTTTTGTTTTGTATTTTATGCAAAAAACAAAATGCTCTAAAGACGATATTTAATCTGTAATATTTTATTTATCTGCCTTCCTAAGAACAGCCATTTAAAAGTCAAGTTTCTTTACAGTTCTAAATGTTCCACGACCCTTCCACTCACATCAATTGCTCTTGTTCAGAGGATGTTTACGTTTTTTACTGAAAAACAAGACAAAAATACAAATGAAGGCAATGATTTTTGCAGTGATGCACTTGCTCATTTGCATCACAGGAAGGACTGTGGAACAGCTGAGTTGCTCTTACTGCATGACTAGATCTGATGTGTCCAGTGAGCAGATGTAATGACCGCCGTTTTAAAATAGGGACATCAGGCCTATATTAACAACAAAACGAAACGTGTTAGACCACGTGGACTGGCATTTGAAAGTTTCCGGTTGCATTTTCCTTTTTGACATCTGTGTGTGCTATTGTTTGGAAAATAGATTGGAAGTGGGGAAGGTTGCAGCGCGTCTCTGAAGTGATCAGTCTTTCAGGGCTCGTACACATGGTGCAATACCCGCTCATTCTCTTCTTCTCCCCCTCCACCGTGCAGTGTTCTGGAGCCTGTGTGTGATCATTATCATTTTAGGCTCAGCTGGAGACATTAGCAGAACACAGGTAATTGGGAAATGAGTGTGTGTGTTTGTGATGGATTTAAGCAAGGACTAGTGTAAGACTTGTGCTTCATAGATGAAGAACTAGATTAGTCCTCGATGCCTTCACCTGCACGTTACCATGGAAACATGGGGTTCTCTCTCTGTGCGTCACCTGGAGCTTGTTTTTTTTCATATATACTCCCGTTCTTGTAGAAAACGTGCAAAGAGGTAAAAGTGAATATCCCTCAAGTGTCGTAATGCACGTGGGGTTGATGAAAGATACTCAAATTCAACAATGATGCACATTTTTGTGCTTTGTTTTGTTGCTGAAGAGTGATTTCTTATGAAGAGTACTTATGAAGGTTTCAGGAGATGCTTGCAAAGACTCTGATTTTGCTTTGATATACCTGTAAAATAGAAAGGCAGTAATTAAATATTATGTCTGACAAAGGTTTTAGATTAAGTGCATATAATGTCATAGTGAATTCAGTTTATTTTTATAATGAAGTGCAATATGTGCTAAAAGAAACATATATTGATTTATCAAACATATCTCCATTTTTACACATGAGAATGCTTATGTAAATTGCACTGCATTCAAAGCCTGTGTTTTTGAATAGTGTGAAGGCATGTGACCAACAGAATTTATACATACAGTAACAGCTCTTGTTGTAACCTATAAACTGAAATAAAATAATGCAAAGTTGAAACCTGCAGTGTTGCAGTAAAATGGAGAATATTGCATAATTTTACCTTATGGATTTATTATAAGTGGAATACCATTTTTAAAAAGATACCACAGTGTGCGATTAGGGTGACCAGTGCTGGAACTGGGAGCTCTGTCTCATATTTCCACAAGACACAATCACTGTCACACATTTAAAGGGTCACGAAACACCAAACACATTTTTTGAGATGTTGACATTCGTATATATGTGTCCCACGTTGCTAAAACCACTATTAGGTGCAACCTCATTAATATGCATGATAGCTTCGAAGACTGTTTTTACCTGTTACAGTGTTTAGGCAGTGTGTTTCCAACAGTTGTGTTGCCAACCGTAATTAAAACAAGTGGAAGAAGAAGAATTGTTCGGAGACATGGGTCGTTAGTATTGTTTATAAATATGCTGCAACAAAGGTTTTGTTTTTATTTCCCTGCTATGAGAGCGCAGCTGGACTCGCGTGTGGATTACAGTTTTCTGCTAACTTGACAAATATATGTTTGTAAGGATAATTTTTACTCAAGAGCTTTTCGCATCTGGAAATGGTAAAATCTGAATTTGCCACATTTTGTGACAGGATATGCGCACGCGGCTGTTTGATGCTTTTCTCCGCACCTACCGAGTCTCTGCATCTAAGTTACAGAGAAATGCGTAGGTTTTTTTCTCCCATACGACATGCGGTTTCAAAAATTTCATTAAAACAACACTCTTCCAGCAGTTCCTCAGATCCAATATTTTGTTTGTCAGGGCGGGCATGCATGAAATGTTCCTGAATGAAAGTGAAAGTGTCAAACTGCAGTTGAAGTCGACAAATTAAGAATGAAACACCTGACATTACATGAAACTCTAGAGGAAATGTGAAGTGCGTGGTGATGCGATAATGCTAATCGAATTATGTGTTATAACATGTAAAACAGGATCATAAAAGGAACATTCAAATAGCAACTCATGTAAACACCTTAATCATATTATTCTCTTACTAATATTAAGGCAAATAATTTGATTAGGGATGTCCATGTAAACGTAGTCACTGTCTATCTCCCCTGCGTCCGTGTTTGTGTTGCTGCTGTAAACATCTCCGCGTGCATGTACTAAAACTCCCCTTTTCAAGCAAACCCTTTTCTCTTTCGCTACTCTACACTCCCACCTAAACAAAGCTGGACTCACCCACTTTCCTAAATTTTTACTGGACTTTTTTTTGTTAATTACCCTTTGAATTTAAAAAACAATCAAACAATAATGAAGAGCTTGTTAAAAGCTTGAAATATTCATTTGCACAGCCGATCCACCAGATCTAACAAGTTTAAGATGCACTAAATTTGGTTAAACTCGAATGAATGTGATTTTGTCTACTAGTCTGTTACATTCAGTTTAGTTTAATGGTAGTAAATGTGTCTCTTCCCCCATGTCCCACAAAATCGTATCTGCTGTCCCGGACAAAACAGTACCCAGGTTATCATCCTGTGAGTGTCCTCATATTACATTCACAGCAGTGTCCATTAAAATTTTGTGTACTGGAAGTTTAATTATGGCACTGTGATTGTGATTGTGCCCTTAAGGTTTGGTTTTGTTTATAATTTTTTGGTAAGACTTTAGAAAAATGGTCTGTTAGTTAATGTATACTAACATAAAGTGTGAATATAGCATTTATTAATCATAGTTCAATATTACTAATGTCTTATTAAAATCCAAAGTCATGTTTGTCAACATTAGTTAAAGCATTCTGAATTAATAGGAAATTAAATAATACATAATGTTAACAAAGATAATTAAGTGCTGTAATAAATGTAGTACTATTTGTTTGTTCATGTTAGTAAACACACTATGGGCCATTATTTTAAAGTGTTACCAGAATCTGTGTTGATTGTGGCTCAAACATTTAGACTTTTACTTCCATGGTTTAGTATCATAATTGTAAAATCTTAGAGTAAAAGGTTTCTACTTTTTACATTTAGAATGTGACATAACTGAGACATGAGTCACGGTTTAAGTGTGGCAGTTTATAACCTGCTTAGCGAAGGCCAGAGATGGCACAAGTACACACATCCTTTATATAGGTAGAAGTACAGATACTCATGTTTAAAATGACTTTAAAAGTTGAAGTACTGACTACACTTTTGTACTTAAAAAAAAAAGTAAAGTACGGCCTCAAAAATGTACTTAAGTAAAAAGTAGCCATTACTGTAAAACTGTAAAACAGCATAAATTCTGAATTAGGAAATTCAAACTCATCGGAAATGAAGCAAATGAATCTCAATGCATAAAGTTTTTATAAAGTATCTGATTTTTATTTGTACTAAATGCCCAAACTTTACAAAAAAACACTTTTTTCATTAGAGTGAAAGACCAGAGAAAGTCCTATACGGTATGATCAGAACAGGACGACTCTAACCTTAAGCATTTAAAGGGCTATTTTTGAACTGGAATGTGTCTCTCGTTTACCTGTGATCTGATCGAGCAAAAGGTGTCTTATTACCATGCAAACATGACAGCATCAGACGTGTTAAATTCGCCGTCACCCTCTGTCTCATCTGTGTAGTCATCCTTGCCTTTCTCATGGCAATCTTCATAAACTAGTCTACATAAGGTGCGTGACAGCCTTGGTTGAAAAGGCCGCACACTGCAGCACGCAGGCCGCAATGACGAAAAATGTTTGCATCAAAAAGGCATTCAAATTGCGCAATGACAAGAAATAATATAGATCGCGCCACCAAACACATGAAAACAAAAGTAACGAACACCACACACCAACTGATTGGTGGAGAGGAGACAGAGTGATGAAGCCAATTATGATATGAGGATGGTTAGGAGGCCAGTGGGCAAATTTGACCAGGATGCTGGGGTTAAACCCCTACTCTTTTACAAAGAACATGCTGGGATTTTTATTGACCACATAGAGTCAGGACCTCGGTTTAACGTCTCATTTGAAAGATGGCGATCACTGAGCAGTATAGAGACCGCTTCACTATTGGGCGTTAGAATCCACACAGACGACAGGTTAAGCTGGTCCCTCCTGCTGGTCTTACTAACACCCCTTCTGGCAGCAACCTAGCTTTCCCCATGTGATCTCCCATGCAGGTACAGACCGGGCGCAGCACTGCTTAGCTTCCGTGGACGACCATGTGATCATGCAATCTGCCAGCAACACATATTTAACACGCATAACAATTGAGTATTTGATGGACTCTGGTATTAAATGCAGCATTTAATAGTATCCTGTGCAAGGCTTCCCTATATAATTCATGCAGCATTAGCTGAGAAAAGAATAAAATTATAATTCTAACCAAATTTATTTAATAAAAGAGGCGTAATTTGTTTAACAGGCCACTAAATAAAAAATAAGTCATTTTATGTAGTTTTTTTCAACAGAAAATTGACCAAATCTTGACTTTAACACTCTTATGTACAAACCATTTTGTGTGTGCTCAGTTACACTAAACTGTATTCTAATGTCTTTAGTAATGTCACATCTAGATGCACACGTCCAGTGCACACATCCTGTAAAAGTGTAGAGAAAAGAGCTGGACCCAGACTATCATGTCTAGTGCCTGCTAAACTGTACATACATAATCTCATGCATTCCTGATGCAGCATTTTTTTGCCAGTGTGTTACTGGCAGATTTCATCCTTAAGGGCTGCTCAAAGGGAGACTAGTACCTCAGTGCCTTGTGCCGCTTAATGAACCAGAGCTTCCAGCTATGCAAGACCTGCGTGTGTGTGTTTATGTGGTTTTGTTTGCCCAGAGGTGGAACAGCAGACGCCTCCACTGCAGTGAAAATGAAGCTGGCCACCGCTGATACCGTGACCCACTCCAGCTTGGCCAGATCGATGGAGTGCAGAGCAGATCTTTGCCAGCTTCACCCTGCTGGCTCCGCAGTGCTCCGCTCCAATCTCAGCCTTTGAACCCTGGCACTGATCTATGGCCACTTACTCCAACACTGCGTGCCGCTAGCCCTCACTACAACACAGTCATACATTAGTGATATTATCCCTGGGGGGTTCATAAAAATCGCTTTTTCGCAGACCGCTGGAATGGCAACAAGACAATATGATTTCTTTCCTCTCAGCATCTGGTTGTGAGATTAAAGATTAATATCTGTCTGGGCATCCTCTGCAGCGCCTGAATCAAATGTTAAATGACCAGCATGTTGATTAGATTATTCACTATGTTACAGGCTTGGGTTTCAAGACTGATTCTGATGAAAGTAACCTGGCTCAAAAACTCTGCGTTTGTGTTGTTGCTGTCAAGTTCCCTTGGGTTGGTACCAAAATAAACCAAGGACAGCAAGTAAAAATGCCCAGGGGGCAAAAAGTGATGCTAGAAAGAATGGATGCCAAATGCAAACTCTAATTGCAGGAAAATGCTCAACAGCAAGGTACTTGAACTTCTGCCATCGGCTTCTATCGACTGAAATTGTACACCGGCTACTCGAGAGTAGAAATGAGGGAGCAGATCAAACCAAAACAAGAAGAGCAGCAGTTGTACTTAGAACTGCTGGTAGGAAAACCGTATTGTGCTCATCAGAGAGAAGAAAAGAGCTGTATTGGAACTGACCAGGAAGAAAATATTAATTTTAGAAGTACTGGTGTGGCTAATATTGGATTTGTAGGCCTACTTGAAGGGATGGTTCGCCCAAATATGAACATTTACTCACCATTTACTCACCCTCAAGTGGTTATAATGA